TTCAATCAGAACCCACTATGAACTGCAAATTCTGCCCAACTGGCCTGAGGTATGCAGCATGCACTGGAGTGTCTAGCGCTTCTGTGGATCATCCTAAGAAAGTACATGTATACTTTTTTATAAACAATTTTTCCAGTCATCTAGATCAGTGTTAAACTCAGTTTAGTGGGATCCACAGAGCACCACTTACTGGCGTATAAGTCCTTACACAGACTCTGCTGTTTTTGGTAAGAACAAGCTGCTCACTCGTGTGCAGCACTATGCCTTCTGCCTTTCCTTGTGTAAACTGAACAGCAAGATCAGGAAGTGGGTAATTCAGTAGTTCTTACTTGGATTTTCTTTCCCCGCTCCATAAACACGCCTAAGCTGTGGAGCACTCTTCCCCAAGGGAGGGAAGAGACCTCTGACACTCAAAGCATATACCCCCCAAAATCTTGTATCTATGGTGCTACTGGGCTCAAATCTTGCTGTTCTAGTGCAGACCAACTGGCTATCCTCTGAAACACTTTCCCAAGAAAGCTGATGCCTTGCAAGTATGGGAGTTCCAGGCAAAGGTGCAAGTGGATGGTAGCTGGGTTGGGGAAGAGCTTTTGAGAAGAGGAAATCTAGGAATCGGCCTGTGCTTGGTTAATCCTCAACAGAATACAGTAGTTCATGTTTGGCTTGTTTTCTGTCCTCAGTTCTGTTGGTATACTACCAATGGCCCAGGTCTGAAAACAGAAGATCTTCCTTACCATAAATCTTCCTTCTCAGTAGTGAGGGGGTGGGTCGGTCATCACATTTGGGAAAAGCTCCTCCCTCTGGTCTTGCAGGGTCACCTCATCTTAGTTTGCAATTCCTGTAGGGGGAGGGGTTTCTCCCATGTGGCTCCAGCATCCTAAAACAATACAAGGAAAGAAAAACTCCCCAAGGGACCAACCAACAGTCACTACAGTTTCCTCTGGAATCCAAAGTAATGTGGCCAGAAAAGGCCCTCAACATCCTTCCACAGGGAGTCCAGCAAATGCTAGTTCTTTAAGGTCTGCCTGGGCCTCCTGTGCAGATTGTCAGTGGACCTAAAGAGAGACGGGGTAAGCTGGACCCGCCCCACATAGAATGCCATCTCCGAAGTAGGGGCTGTCAACGTCAATACCCGTAGGTGGAATCAACCAACCCACCCCTGGACCACCGAGAAGGAAGATTCACTGTGAGAAAAATCGCCAGTGGTCCTGGGGTGGGTTGGTCATCCCTACAAAAGCAGTACGTCCCTGGGAGGGAGAGACAGTGCCTAGACGGAGACCACCTGTTGTGGCACCCTCCTCTTGAAGGCAGCCTCAGCCAAGGCCCACTTGTCTATCTTATAATGCCAAGTGAAGAAGGAGGGGGGGAGGAGAGGAGAACAGCTCTCAGAGAACTTTGACTTACCCAAGGTCACCCAGCAGAACCACTGGAGAACTTAGTGAGGCCATAATTCTGGCTCCTTTGATCATACATTTAAAGGGAATTAGATTCACGGAGGATACCTCTATTAGTGGCTACTAGCCATAGTGACTGAAGGGAACCTCCACATTCAGAGGCATTAAACCTCTGAATCCCAGAGCCAGGAGGCAACATCAGGGGAAGGTCTTGGCCTCTATGCCCTGTTGTTGGGTGTCCAGAGGAACTGGTTGGCCACTGTGTGAGACAGGGTGCTGGAATAGATGGACCATTGGTCTGATCCTGTGTTCTTACGTTGTTGATACTTTATTTTAAAATGCTTTTCTAACTACTCAGGAGGATCCAAGGTGTCTTATAAGAAAACAAGAGGGGACTTGCAAGAAATTTGCAGGGTGGTTTTCCTTTCTTACTCTCTCGTCCATATATGTCACTTCCTCTTTCTACCCCCTCATCACCATTTCTCTACCTCCCCAACTCATCACTTTCTCCCCCCTTAACTCTTTTTGTCCCCATCACTCTCCCAGCCTCCTGCCTGCTCCCCCTTCCCCCGCACAGCAGCAGCAGCAGCACACCCAGCCACCCGCCTGCTTCCTCTCCCTCTCCAGCAGCAGCAGCAGCAGCCCTCCAGGAATCACGAGGGATCTCCCAGCTACAGAGATCAATTCCCCTCAGCGTTGCCAGCTCTAGGCTGGGAAGTTCCTGGAGGCCTGGGGGTGGAGATTTGGGACAGTGAGGCTTGTGGAGGGAAGGAACCCCAGCAGGGGATAAGGCTATAGATTTCACCCTCCAAAGCAGCCATTTTATCTGTCACTAGAAGAGCAGTTGTAATTCCAGGTCATCTCCAGCCCTTACCTGGAGGTTGGTGATGGTAGTTCTCGTGGAGAAAATGGCCAATTCTGAGGGCGTATTCTATGGCATACTGGTCTGATGCCCCTCCCCTCCTCAAACCCCACCTTCCCCAGGCTCTACCCCTCAAATGTCCAGGAATTTCCCAACCTGAAGTTGGCAATCCTATCTCTTTCCCACCCAACAGCCAAGCTACCTTTATCTGCCCATCTTCAGCGTTTTGTCTCCACCCCCCTCCCCTGCAGCCTCTACCTAGGAAAACTACAGTCTTTCTCCACAGTGGAGACCAAAGCAGCTTCCATTATTCTCTCATTTTTATCTGCACAACAACCGTGTGGGGTAGGTTAGGCTGAAAGTATGTAACTGGTCCAAAATCACCCAGTCAGCTTCCACAACAAGATGGGGATCTGAACGTCTGTCTCACAAAACCTGCTCTGAAGCTCTAACTGCTGCACCATACTGGCTTTCACAGGGTGGCTGCTGCTGAACAGTAGCAAGGGGCCAAGCCTAGCTGAGTCATGCAAGTCAGAAGGTCTCAAGTCACCCAGAGGATGCTGCCAGGCCTAGGGTTGTCAAACTCTGTTGTTGTAAACCGCCATGAGCCCCGCGTAAGCGGGGAAGGGCAGTTAAGAAATCGAAATAAATAAATAAATAATAAAAAGCTTTAGATGGGACCTGGAGACCCCTCAGAATACAACAGATCTGTCTCCCTGGATAAAATCGCTGCTTTGGAGGATGGATTCCGTGGCATTATATCTAAGATTTTAAAGCAAGAATACAATTACACTGTAGTTTTCAAGCTAGTTAATCCTGGAGTATTTTAAAAATTACACTAAATTTGTTAATAAAACACAGTGTACCATAAAAGCTGATATATTTTCTTACTTCTGAAACAACAACATTGGCCTGCAATTAAAATCTCATACAGTTCAATAGCTCTCACCCCCGAAATTTAAGCTCCTAGTCCCCTCCCCCTTTTTGTGTTGAACCTCCCTGCCGAGACCACCCGTCTGCCACCATCCTCCTCCTCTGTGAACTCCCATCCAAGCAGGCGAGATGGTCACCATGGCTCCTGCCTGACGCTTCTCCTCCAAATGCCTCAAGTCAGCATTACCAGATAACTCAATGCTTTGTTTCCTAACGCTTTCAAGCAGTTAAATGAAGCTGTAGTTCAGCTGTAGACTTGCCTAGTGACCTTGGACAGGTGCTTTTCCCTCAGAAAACTCAGGAGAAAGTCTCCAATAAAAAAGAAAGGGAATAACTACGGTATCTGGCTGGATTTGAAAAGTGTCCAGTAAGTAGACTCTCACATACAGCAATGGTGAGCGCCTTCTGGATTTTCTCCCTTCCCAGTCATTCTGCCACCCATATCTGGCCGCTTACTTCTGAAACAACAACATTGGCCTGCAATTAAAATCTCATACAGTTCAATAGCTCTCACCCCCGAAATTTAAGCTCCTAGTCCCCTCCCCCTTTTTGTGTTGAACCTCCCTGCCGAGACCACCCGTCTGCCACCATCCTCCTCCTCTGTGAACTCCCATCCAAGCAGGAGAGATGGTCACCACGGCTCCTGCCTGACGCTTCTCCTGCAAATGCCCCAAGTCAGCATTACCAGATAACTCAATGCTTTGTTTCCTAATGCTTTCAAGCAGTTAAACGAAGCTCTAGTTCAGCTGTAGACTTGCCTAGTGACCTTGGACAGGTGCTTTTTCCACTCAGAAAACTCAAGAGAAAGTCTCCAATAAAAAAGAAAGGGAATAACTACGGTATCTGGCTGGATTTGAAAAGTGTCCAGTAAGTAGACTCTCACATACAGCAATGGTGAGCGCCTTCTGGATTTTCTCCCTTCCCAGTCATTCTGCCACCCATACCTGGCCGAGTTCTGAACAAGTACATAATTCCTGCAACGACAGGTAATATATTGTTCGATTTTTCCTCCCTGACAGGCAACTGACAAACAGGCTCTAGGATAAAACCAAGGCAAGCTAGAGCAAAAGCAAGACTATGGCTGAAATCCTATGGACACTTACCTGGAAGTAAGCGTTACTGGACAACGATGCAGCTTACTTCTGATTAAGCAAGCCTAGGGTGGCGCTGTGTGTCGGCCCGCTTTTGCTGTTTCCTAAAGTGGTCCTGAAGCTGCGCTCTCCTCTTTCCTCGCCTCAAAACAGCCTCCATATCCCTTACACCGCCTCCCTCGAAATGGGCTCTAGTTTAATAAAGGTTTTACTAGAACGAACACTTCTCAGGGGCTACCAGACTCCTATCACTGCATTGCGGTAGACCTCAGCAGCGCTACCAGATCCAAAGTTTCCTGTCGGCTTAAACTCCAGCTGGACGGCGCTGCAACCAATGTTCCCTCTAAGCTGTGGAGTCTTGTGAGCAAAAACTCTACTTTGTGAGCTACTGTCATTAAAGTGGTGAGCGAGCGATTTGGCTGCTGCTGCAGCAGTTAGCTTGCTCTTGAGCCCTCCTTCCTGAGCTGAGACAAAAATGGGTGAGCTGGAGGCTAAAAAACTGTGAGCTAGCTCACACTCACTCAGCTGAGAGGGAACACTGGCTGCAACCCAAAGGGCGGCACACAAAAACACTTGCGGGCACCGTCTGTCCCAGATCCCTCCCCTCTCCGGCCTTGCCCAGCGGAACAAGATGTCGGCCCTCGCCTCCACCCATCATGCTTCGCGGGCAGTCCCAGCCACCCAGGCTTCCCTTCCGGATTCAGTCGCAGGGAAGCGGTGGCGTCCTCGGTTGGGTGTCGCTGAGGGAAGGGGGTGTTTGTTTATGTGGGAGAAAGTGGGGGGAGGAAGGGCCAAGCCGGACGCTGCCGCTGGAGGACCGCTATGAGCCTCCAGCCCCGTCGGAATGCTCTGTGGCTTCCCGCCCTCGTCTGCGTCGTGTCGGTGTTTGCGGCTCCTGGGTCGGAGGCGCGGAGACACTCGCCTCATCCCGTCGAACAGCCCCGAGGGAAACATCGACCGCCGCACTATGGTGAGCGAGTGTGCGAGAGGGGCTCTCGCTTCCCTCCTCATCTCTCAGGCACGTTTGGGGTACGGAAGGGAAGGGGACGGCACCCTCGGAATCATGGCCAGGGGAGGGAAGGAGGTGAGCCTTCGTAAGATGTGAGCCAGGCTTAAGGTGTGGAGTGGGAGAGTGACAGAGAGGAGCGAGAAGCCTCGTTTCCCGGGTTATGTTTCGTGTGTATCCTCGTTGCGGTGAGGAGCAGGGCGGTGTGATGGTTCTAGGAGATCGGGAGTTCAAATCCCCACTCTTATCTTTTGTGCTGTAAAACTCGTCGGGCAAGTCAACGTCTCTCCGCCTAATCTACCTCACACTTGTTATTCAGATAACATAGAAGAGGGAAGAACAGTGTAGACCCCCCCTGAACTCCTTGGAGAAAGGGTGAGATAAAGATGTACTGAATGATTAAAGAGGGAAGACGGAAGATCTTGCTGGGGTTTGAGGTGTGAGGGCAAGGGTTTCTCTTAAGGGTATGTCCATGTTTATTTATTGAGACAGTTATAAGCCTGCTCTCCTTGTGGGCAGCTGGGACCCGAGGTGGGTAACTGGTTAAAAAGTATACATAAAGGCCTTTTGTTGTTGTTTTTCCTTTTACAGTTGAGGCTGCAGAATGAATAATATGTGGTTCTTTCGTGGGAATTTAGTTTGAGTGGGTGTATGAGGGATGGGGTCACTGATGACTGTATCACCATAGGAAAGCAGGTGGGGGATCCTGATAAGCAGAGGGGGACAGCACATGTATTTGGCCCAGGGTTGTTAATGGCGGAAGATAACGCTAAAGCATTACATGGTCACAGTTTGCATCCCTATCACGGGGAATGCAGGAACTTGGTTGTCTGCAGCATGGGGCAACATATAATAGATAAATACATTAACACATATGCAAGTTGAATCCAGTGTGTCCATCCTTTTCCCAACAGGACATAGTCACACATGAGTTGTAGGTTCTCTTCAGTTCCTTCATGTGCATTGCCTGATTTGGATCTGGACCGCAGCGTGCATAAAGAAAAGGCTTCAGCCTCCCCTCCATTTTCCCAATCTGGAATAATCCTGGGGATGCCTTTTGTGGAAACCTGTGCGTTCCCTGGGATACATGTGGGTTTTCCAACTGGCAAAATAACATCTCCCCTGCAGAACTGTTGCAGTCTGGGATAATGGCATGTATGTGGAGAGAGACTGAAGGCCAAGTTCCTCCATGCTTGCATGTCTCCCTTCCACCACCCACCGCCCCATCTCATTGGTGAAGCTATGTGATGAACACCTGACTGTTGCTATCCAGACAGTTTCTACTGTTGGTGCATGGGAAGGTGTGTAACTGTGGATTGCACAATAACAAAAGTTGCAGAAGTCATTTACTCCAGTTCTGGAAAACACTTCATTTAATTTTCTGCTTTCCTCTTACAGTCAGTAATACTCTCACCATTACTAATATGAAAGTAGTACTTATGATTACTAATATGTGAGTAATGTGTCCTTGCTGTTACTAACAAATTCACACATAGCTACAGATTGAAAAAGCTTGCAAAGTCCACATGTAGCTTGGGGCAGAGTACGTATCTTGCATGCAGAAGGTCCTCAGTCCTTGGCATCTAGCAGGGCTGGGGAAGACTCTGCTTGAGATTCTGAAGAGCTGCTGCCAGTCATACTACACCGTATCAGGCTAGATGAACCAATGGGCTGATAATGTGGCAACTTTATATGTTGATAAGAAAAAAAAATACTGTTTAGTAGTCTTGAGTATATATCAGGGCTTGACAAAACCCAGATGCCAGGTCACCATGGCACCTAGCAATTCAGCCATGATTTTTGTTTTTGTATTTTTGTGTTTTGTGTGTGTGTGTGTGTGTGTGTGCCTGGAAGTCATAGACTCCTATTGGGGCATGGAGGACATTCAGAGAAGTGGCTTGACAGCCTGCCTCCCGGCCCTGATATTCTATGGAGGTCTCCCATCCAAATCCTTGCCAGGATCGGCCCTCCTTAGCTTCCAAGATCTGATAAGATTGGGCTTGCCTGGGCTATCCAGGTCAGGGCAGCAGTAATTTTGTTGTAGTATCCCTCAGCAGTTTTTAGTGCAAGTACAAAGAGTTGGATCCAAACAGTTTTTTCCAGTAGTGCAGAAGGGAGGAAGTGGTCCTCTTTGACCACCAAAAAGGCTGTGCTGGGGATTATGGGACCTACGTGGACCCAATCCTGCATGGAATTGAAGCTGTCAGGAGGAGAGGAATTGGCTGAGATTGAGTGAAGATGCTGGCTGGATACAAACCATAGCTGCTTTCATTTCATATCAGATTGTTTTGTTGTATGATACAAAATAAATATGCGTAAAGTTCTTGTCACTACTTGTTTATATGTAACCTTAACTTTACACCACTCAATGGTGTTGGATGAATTTGTTTCTTAACCAGTTGCTGTCTGTACTGTCTGTAGTGTTCAATTAATGATTTTTTTTTCAGAGCAATATGGGAATTATGATAAATTGGGGAGAAGTTAGGTTAGCGTTAAGAGGTGAGTTTTTTGTTTTGGTGATGACAGCCGTGGTTACTGCTATATTTAGTTACATGCTACAACAGTTTGTCATACCTTTAATCAAATTATGAGAAACTGTGAGAGTGTTAGGATTAGGTTTTGTGGTAGCAATAATTAGAAAATATGGTGACTAAACCTGAAGGTTGAAAAAATGTGTATGGCTCCTAATTTTGGGGATGGTTCATAGAGCCAAAGAAAATTTGTCAAGGCCTGCTGTGTATAGCTACTTTGTGGGAAGAAAGAGCAGGTTATTACAGGCACAGTTCCCTCTAAGCTGCCCTAGGGGCTCTGGCGCACAGCATTTCAGGGGGCTGCTCAGGGCATTTTAGCTTCAACTCACAACATTTTTTCCCTTCCATAGGAAACAATGAAGGATGGGGGTATTTCTTTCTGGGGCCCATAGAATTGGTCCCCCTGGTCCAATCTTTTTGAAACTTGGGATTTTTTTTTATGAGAGGCACCAGCAGCTGTGCTGCTACCTCAAAAGACAGCCCTCTCTGAGCTCCAGATACCCCCCTATCAATTCTCCATTATAGCCTATGGGGCTCATTGACTATAATGGTCCCTGTAGGTGATAATTGAGCCAGAATCACCAATTCTTTTGCCCACCCTTGTTATGCTTTCCAGTATGATTTGTAAGCTGCCTTGAGTCACAGGGAAAAGTGGGATATAAATATTTGAATAAATAAGTAGTTTGGGCAAGTTGATAACATTTAAGCAACTTCCTGTTTGTTAGGTTAGGCAGGGTTCTGACAGTGATCGTTCCACCTCTGTTATATTTGACATGTAATGCTGGTTGCAAGAGTTGGACTATAAGGAAGGCTGAGTGCCGAAGAATAGATTAACAAAAATGCTGGTTGTCATATTTCACTAAAAAACCAAAATAGACTGTACAGCTTTTTCTCCCCTAAGTGCTGGTATGTTTTCTAAGGATCAGCGCAAGGCGACGGTCCAGGCCCAGGTCAACCAATATAGTGGACTGGGGTGGGTAGACTTGTTCTAAAGAGACCAGGTCTACCAATACACTGAAAAGGGGCAGGGAGACCTGTTCTCCGGAGGCCTGGTCTACCCTTGTAGAGGACATTTTGTATAATGAAATTTGACTTGATTCTGTTTTCTCTTGTAATGTTTAAATTAGTCTTAGAATATAGTTTAAAACAATTCGTTCTGAGATTTTTACAAGGGTATGGAAATAATCTTCTTTTACGCAATAGTCAAAGGTAGACTTGCTCACAACCTTAACGTTACTAGGTTTTTTGGCTCATGAGGTAGATTTTTGCTTACAACACTGTTGAGCTTAGAGGGAACAATGATTACAGGTACAGCTGATAGTGGCAGTTTTTTTAAAGAAATCTTTGGAATGGGGTGTGGAATACCTGGTTTCATTTCCTGATGACTGTAGCTCTCTAGTGAAATATCTCATCATCTACTGCTTCTACTACTGCTAATACTGCATTTTAAAAGTTTATAGTGTGTGCAGCTCTCCTGTCTTCCTCAGCTCAATAGTCCTTGTTGACTTTTCTTCAAAATATGTTTAATTTTATGGTTGCAATAATTCTGTAAACATTATCACAAATACTGAATAGATAGGTACTGCATAAGTGCCGACAAGTTGCAAATGACTTATGGAGACCCCAGCAAGGAGCCTTCAAGGCAAGTGACAAGCAGATGTGGTTTGCCATTGCCTTCCTTGGTCTCCCATCTAGCTTTTAAATGTGTATTAAGTATGATCAGTTTCTGGCCTGTTAACACATTGAGACTGTATGATCAGTGAGACAAATATATAAAGATATACCATTTTTATGCAAGTAATTTGCTTAAGTAAACCACTTAGGGCTTTAACATGAGCTGGATATGTGAGTTATTAAGGCGAGTCTCAGTTCCTTGCATGTTAACTTCTGTAGCAGATCAATTCATTTATTTACCCACTATAAAGAGCAGGATCTTTGATTTGCCATGGCTGATAGGCTAGATATTATACCTCACTTTTCTTCCCAGTGGAGAGCCAAAATGGCTTACAACATTGTTCTTTACGTTCCTCCATTTTTTTACTTCCAGAGCAGCCCTGTGAGGTAGACTAGGCTGAGATAGAGTGGCTGGCCCAAGGTCATCCTATGGGCTTCAGTGGCAGAGTTGGGGTTTGAACCTTGGTCTCTCAGATCCTTGTCTGATGTGTTAATTGTAAAAAATGGAGAAATGAGTTGAGGAATCATGAGAGTCAGGCGTAGTATCTCTGTATTGATGATAAATAGTTAGAATGCTTTTCCTTAGTGAATGAGGATATCATTGGTTTTCTGCTGAATCACCTGTCTTCCTCAATATACCATGTCATAACTTCTGTACCACCGAAATTTATGAAATTCTCCTTTGTAATTGTGGAGCTTCTTTTTTATGCCTGCTTTACAGGTAAGGATGAGAGAAGAGAGATTGTGTTTGTATTCTTACTTGGGCAAGTATTCATTTGAGAATATCATCAATGCAGCAGAAGCACACTAGTGCTGCTGTTTGAAGCTTTTGGCTATTTTTTTGCCCCCCAGTTACTGATTCAAACTTGTGTTTTCCGATGGTAATGTAATGGACTATAGCTATAACGTTTATTGTTCAAGTTGTGGAGAGGGAGAATCCTAAAAAAGTTTATGCATTTTTTCATAGCTTTGTTAAACTTTCTCATTTTTCTTGCAGAAAGTCTAGAATCTGTTCTCTCAGACTATGACATTCTTTCTGTGTCCAGTATCCAACAACACTCCTTAAGAAGAAGAGACCTGCAGCCCGAGTCCCATATAGAGCAACTCTTGAGCTTTTCAGCATTGCATAGGTAATAAAACATTAGCAAAAAGACATGTGCCTTAATATTGTTACCATAGCGAGTAGTTGTAAACATCAGTATTATATAGTAGGGATGGGCATGAATTTGGCATGAACTTGGCCCGGTTCAGAACCCCGGAACCAATGTTCAGCGTTTGTCCGGTTTGGCTGTTAAACTTAACAGCTGAGCAGTGTGGGTCTACAGCTGACCTGCTAGGCTGAAATGGCTCACAGCCTTTTAAACCTAACAGCTGATGGGTACACCCCCCCTGCTGTTAGGCTGAAATGGCTGTGAGCCATTTCACTGGTTAGTTTGCTTCCCGTCCCCCAGCCCCCACCCCACCCCACAGGTCGGTTTCACTTCCACCCACTTGGAAGCAAGGGGGAGCAAAACCGACCAGTGAAATGGCTTGCCATGGCCGGGAGAAAGGGGAATCCAAACTGGCTTGTTTGAGGCATATATTGCTTGGTTCAAGGTTCAGTTTGGGGGCTGCCCCGAACCGGAATGTTTAGGTTTGTACCCATCCCTATTATAGCGTTACCTGGCTTGTTAACTTCCAACTTCCATTGTTTAGTAGTTGTTACGAGTCTTACTAGTTCTTATGAGTCTTTGGCTTCACTGAGAGATTATAATGCATATGTTCTACAAATACTAGGTTGACAGTACAGTTGAATTAAGAATGCTTTTACTGTATTTTCTCCAGTACTGCCCTTCCACTGTTGATATTTGCCATTGTGTTTCCTCTGGCATAAGGAAGGATCCATGCCCTTTGACTTTTTTCTAGCCAGACAAAAGTTGTGCTTGCCATAACCAGTGTTCCCTCTAAGCTCCACAGCGTGATGAACAGAAATTCTACCTCGTGAGCGAAAAATGCTAGTAGTATTAGAACTGTGAGCAAGTCTACATTTGATATTCCGTAAATTAATTTTAGAAGATTATTTCCATAATGTAAAAATCTCTGAATGAATTCTTTGAAACTATATTGAAACTGTATTTTAAAAATAATTTAAACATTGTAAGAGAAAACAGAAACAAGTCAAATTTCTGTTACACAAAATGTTGTCCTCTGACATCTACAGGGGTAGACCAGACCTCCAGAGAACAGGTCTATTTGCCTCTTTCCACTATATTGGTAGACCCAGGGCTATTTTTGGGCAGGAGCGCACAGGATCGGAGTTCCGGCTGGCTTCAGAGTTGGCCACACCCACTACAGCCAAAACCTCTGTGCGTGTGTAGCTACAGAGGGAAGGCCAGGAGAGCGACCCCCCTGCGACTCCAAGGCGGGCAGGCCGGGGGGGGGCCCTGTAAGGATCGGAGAGGCATTTAAATGCCTCCCCGTGCCTTCCCCGGCCTGTCCAAGGGCCAACTTGACCGGGCTCTCTGCAGCCGTGGGGTGTGGCCTAATATGCTAATGAGTCTCTGGTGTTGGGTGTGGCCTATTATGCTAATGAGTTCCTGTTGGGCTTTTTCTACAAAAAAGCCCTGGGTAGACCTGGCATCCAGCGAACGGGTCTATCCGCCTCAGTCCACTATATTGGTAGACCTGGCCTCTGGAGACCTAGCCTCTGGTGCCCCCATCCTCTGTTGTTTCCTATGGAAGCTTGGTTGTGAGCTGAAGCAGAAATCCTCTGAACTGGCCTCTGAAATGTTGTGCACCAGCACCCCCTAGTGCAGCTTAGAGAGAACTGTGGCCAGCTAGATTGAGGATTGGGGTCTTGAGTTGAGCAGCATACTGAGTTTCATAGAAACCTAGGCACCTCTGAGGCCCAGCACAGTTACAGGGTCAAGTTTCAGCTTCCTCCCCAGTTGAGACATACCTCACTGCTTTCCTAAAAAATCTTGAGGCTCAGTGTGGCATCAGGAGAGTCCCTGCCCTTCTCCTAATCCTAGAGGAAGGTGAGAGGTCTTCTTGATGCCATGTTCAGCTCTTGCTATATTTAAGAAGTAGAGTTGGTTTTTATACCCCACTCTTCACTACCCAAAGGGAGTCTCAGAGTGGGTTACAATCGCCTTCCCTTCCTCTCCCCACAACGGACACCCTGTGTGGTAGGTGAGGCTGAGAGAGTTCTGAGAGAACTGTGACTGACCCAGGGTCACCCAGCTGGCTTCATGTGGAGGAGTGGGGAATCAAACCTGGTTCTCCAGATAAGAGTCCACCGTTCTTAATCACCATACCTAGCTGGCTCTCAAAAGATGGGCTCCCTAGAAGCAGCCCTGTAGCTAGGGATTTTTGGGGGAGGGGGTCCATTAAATCAAAGGCTCCAGGGCAAGGGGGGTCTGCCTGGCGTGCACCCACACAGCCCCCACTAGAGCCTTCCTCTGAGGCGAGCCAGAATCCCAATGTTAGTAGACACTAAAAGGTCTAGGAAAGCTGCCATGTTTTAAAAAATAAAAGGAGAGCGGGGATCAAGCTTCCACCCCCACTCCTTCCCTGAGCCGACAATCTTTTCCGAAGCCTGGCACAGAAAACCCAACAGGGGAAACGAACTGCTGCGATCCGACCAATGTGTGTGTGACTCAGTCAACCACTGGTTGCTGCTGGGTCCTAAAGAGACTCAGTTCATAGCAGATGAGCTCAAACAGGGAGATGCCGGCTCAGATCGATCAGGGGGTGAGGGGGCCAGAGGGAGGGAGAGCTGACGATCTGGGGAGGCGCCCACAAAAACAGCAGGGGGCCCATGGTACCAGTAGTGAGCTAGTTTATGCACTTGTACCTCTTTCTGTATAAGGAACTTTTTAGTGCTTCCTAATCAGTAACGGCAGCACTGTTCTGTCTGCATGATTCCTATATAATATATTACTGTTAAATGACTGATGAGGCTATGCAAAAATGAATGTTGTTGATAAAGCCACATAAGGTTTGGTTGATATTTCAGAAATTGATAAACATTGTTTTAGAGCTCTGTGTATATTAGGAGTGAAGAGGAAATAATTTTAAGTTCTTTGTAACATAAGAGGATAACCCTGTTCTTTGATTTCCGCTGGAAAGACAAATGCATGAAATGTTTACAGATATCTGCCAGTTTATTATCTGAGCTTCAAGTAAGGCTTCTAGATCTGGTTAATAATTTATAGGTACATTTTTCAACCTACCCTTCTTCGAAAGCCTGGGTATTAAAAAGCAATTGATGTATAAATTACAGGGGTAGGGTGGGGGAACTGTTGCAGCTGCCGATGCAAATGTCCTTTTTCTGTAATAAAAGTTCTTTTTGTTCTCTGAAGTAAATTCCACAGGGAATTGGTAGCAGACAGGTGGCACTGCATCTGTCTTCTAGTTACAACAAACTTTTGAATAGGTAAAAGTGTTTTCCTGAAGTGTGTTTTAATGCTAAATGTAAACAAATTCTTTTACAGGCATTTTGAATTATACTTAACATCATCAGTAGAACGTTTTCCAAAAAACTTTCAAGCACTTATAATGGATGGCCAAGGCAAGGAGAGAGAGTATCATGTACAATGGCAAGAGTTTTTCACAGGGCATGTTGTAGGTGAGTGTGAAATGGGGTGCATGTGGTATTGGTAGGCAGAGCAGCTCTAATCTGGTAACCCTTTCAAAAATTTCAAATACTTTAAAAAGAATGGGACCTGATCTATTTAAAATATTCCTTATGTACCTATTTAAAATAGTCCTTATGCACCTTTTTCACCAGACAAGTTAATTGGAATGTGAGGGGTGGGGTAAGTGGCAGGAATTAACTCATTTCTGTTCTCACTCTGTTTTAAATAGGTAAGAAAAATTCCAAGGTCACTGCACATATAAGTGGAGAAGACTTCACAGCGAGGATTAATACTGATGAAAAAGAATATAATATTGAGGTACTCCCCATTATTAGAACCTGATTCTAGTCAATGTAAACATCATTAAAGGAAAATTATACTTTTAGGCTGGTCATTTTATTTTCTCTGGTTTAATATGAGCAAAGAATGTAAAGGTGAGGTTGACGTTTGTTTTTACTGTCTGTGTAAGAATTTTTCCACATGTGTCAAACATGCACAGTTCTGAGGACCCATATTGTGAGGTATGTGCCAAGAGACCATAGGTGTGAACACCGTTTGAATTTTTAGCTTTTGTAAAATGAGTGTAAACTCTTAAAATGAAGGTAGCAGTTTTGAATAACTGTGTGTACGCGACCAAAAAACTGGGCGATGCCATAGGTTATTTGTAACATGAGTGATTATTGCTGATATGAAGTATCTTAGAATTTTCATCTTGATCCCAAAACACCCCCTGAAAACTTGTTCTTGGGGGGGGGGCGGCCCCCAGGAATTGCTTGGGTGTAGGAAGGTTAGATAAGGTTTATTGTATATGGCCACTGGCCTTTACAAGTTAAAAACATATTTACAGCCCTAGAATTTTAAAATTTCTGATATAACATCCATCTCTAAAAATTCTCATTCAGACACAAGAATTCCATTTGGTTGCTTTCTTAGAAACCGCATTTGCTCTGATTTTCCTAGCAGCTAAACCAAAGAGTACCATCCTGTAGGAGACAAGGGAATCCGTGTCTGACTGCATAAATACTGATTTGTCAGAATCAGAAAGAGAGTATTAACTCTCTAACGTCCTAGCCAGAAATTTGTTTCTAGGCTCCAAGTATAAAGGGCAAACCAAAACATAGTGAAGAAGGTCTTCCACCAAACGTCCGCATATACAAATGCATTGTTCCTGTGGTATTTTTGAATATCGTCTAGTAAGTAGCTCCATTGGCATAGTTTGATGTGAACGCCATTCTGGGGTTATATGCTGTTTTAAGAAAATCATATGGAATGGTATAGTGGAAAATAATGTTATTTAAAAAATCCTAACGGGCTGTATCCTTACTTTGCAACAGGTGATAACTAGATTTGCTAAGTGAGCCCATATCTGTCAATTGGTTTTTCCCGATGATTTTAATATTGCTAAGCAGGCACGAGCCCTAATCGAAGTGAGGCCAAGTTCTGTTTGCAGCAAAGCTGCTGGCAATTCTTTTGGCAGTGCTAAAATACACCTTAAAAAACCCATTTTTAGTTGTTTCCAGACCAGTAAGTATTTTTCCAACTCCGTAATTCAGTGCCATACAGTAGATGGGAAATAACTTTACTGATGAAGAGTTTTATTAAGGGTTAGGGAGATTGGATTACAACAGTAGGATTGAAATTTTCTGATGGCTTATAGAAGGTGAGACAAATTCTGAGCCGGATAGTCTTGTGCTGTTCCTCTCCCCCCCATAGCCAGTCAGAACACAGAAGTTATTTGCATATGCAGCCTTATTGGCCTTTGCCTTGGAACACAGAGGTCGTTTGCATATGCAACTTGATTGACTTTTGCCTCTAACATTCTGAACAGTTTTGCTGTTCTGAGGTAAAATGTGTCCAATCTCCAGGTGAGGGCTGGAGATCCCTCAGAATTACAACTGCTTTCCAGATGGCAGAGATCAGTTCCCCTGGAGAAAATGGTGGGCTCTGTATCCTTATATGCTGCTGAGGTGGCCCCCGTATGACAGCCAATGTGACGTAGCAGTCAGGGCTTCAGAGCATGGGAGAGGCTGCAGGTGTGTGGGGGGTGGAAAGCTGAAGAGTGAGGGGGAAATAAAGGTAGGTTGATGATTGGCTGGGAAGGAGATAGGGTTGCCAACTCCAGGTGGGAAATTCCTGGAGATGTGAGGGATGGAGCCTGGAGAGGGTGAGGTTTCAGGAGGCGTGGGACCTCGGACAGGTACAAAGCCATAGACTCCACCCTCCAAACCAACTATTCCCTTCTGGGGAACCATCGTTGCCAATCTCCAGGTGAGGGCTGGAGATCACTCAAAATTACAACTGTTATTTAGGGTAGCAGAGATCAGTTCCTCTGGAGAAAATGGTGGACTCAGTGGCATTATACCCTGCTGAGGTCGCCACAGCAAATTGACACTGAGTGTCCAAGGCCAGGGCAGTCGCCCAGAGCCTCTTTCTAGAGGTTGTTGTATTTATTTCCACAACGGGCCTTTTTCCTAGTTTATGTATAAATTGAAAAGTAAAGGGGCTAATACACACTCCTGCTTTACTCCCTTTGCCACTGGAATTTCATTGGTTAGGGAGCCCGAGATGCCCACTTCGATTTTTGCATATGTATCTGAGTATAACTCACGTATGAGAAACAGTCTTTCATCAATATTTGCCTTTGCCAATTTCTCCCAAAGTCAGTATCAACAGAATCAAAAGTCGAGGCCAGATCAACAAGCACTACATACAGGGCTTTAGTTGGTCCATTCATATCTGAATAGGCCAACTGGTAAAGTGTTAGACAGTGATCTATTGTACCTTGGCCTCTTCTGAATCTTGCTTGGTGGGGATGCATAGTATGATTGTCAATGACCCAATCCTCTAGCTTTTAAGAAGATATTTTCCATAAAGTTTTGATGCTGTGTCAAGGAGGCTTATAGATCAGTAATTGACCGTGTGAGTTTTGTCTCCTTTTCATGGATGGGGACTACTATACTAGTATTCCAGCCTGCTGGAAAAATACCCAAGTCATTTATCTGTTTAATAGTTTAGCTAATACAAGTTGGGAAAGGCTTTTATCCGATCTGTAGAAATCAGATCCTCCCTGGGGGATTTGCCTGAAGCTAAAGTTGTAATAAGGTTTCCGATTTCAGTCTCCGTTACTGGGGGCCACTCTGGTGGAATTTGTAAGTTAGTAACGGAGGCCCATTCCCTTATTCCTAACAACTTAGATGAAGATGGAATGGATTCGTAAACTTTGGTAAAATGCACATACCAAGTATTTCCAGATATTTGAGCATCTAGTTGTTGAGGAGAATCTACCTAAACGAAATGAAACCAGCTCCCCAAAACAAGATTTTTTCCCCCTCGGTGACAGCCTGGGTCAGTTAATTCCATAAATATTTAGCATAAGCAATTTTTTTTACTTTTGCATAAACTCTTATACTGGGATCTAAATATGGTTAATTGTTGAATTCTAGTTGCTTCTTTGTTGTGCCGAGTTAACCTCAATTGCGTAGCTATTTTTTTTCTTAAAAGTTCTACATTCTAAATCAAACCACCCATTTGGGGGATAAGATTGCTATTTTAAAGGTCTTCTATTAATAAGTAAAGGTTTAATAATTTGTACTATCTCTTCGTAATATTGAATAATATTTGTATCCAATTGAAGTAGAGCTTGTTGTATGAGTTTTAGATTGGCACTCTCCAGAGCTACAGCTACTGTATTTTGTAACTGCTGAATCCACCTACATCTCCTGAAAACAGGAAATATATATTTGGTAGATTCGGATGTTGGAGCCAAAAAAAATCTGTTAAAATTTATTACTAGCTTTAGAGGGCAGTGATCACTTATAATGCTATCGCCCACTTCAAGATGATTCACTTGTGTTAGCCGAATTGCTTTATCTACAGCAATTGGGAAATTTAAATCTGGGTGTTTGCCAACTATACCAAGGTCCTGTTCCCACCAACGGGTTACCAGAGAAGGAGTTCGAGGCTGTTGTTGTTCAAATAACTGTCTTTTACTTAAAGAAAATATATCACATACAAACAATACTGATACACTCACACATTCAATCAAGTTCCTTAGAAATACAGTAGTAAAATAAGCACTTTTGCATTAGCAGGTAGGGTTGATGATGGGTGATACTTATCTGTCTTCACAGGTTGGTGATTCCAATGAAGAATGGATTGGGAGAAAATAGAAATCTAAGGGAGTAACACACAACTAGAACCAGCCAGCACGTGTGGGCAGTAGAGGCAAGGGTTGGGGATAGCAAGCTGGACAAAAGAGGAGTATAAAGTGGACAGGGGTTGTTGCGGGGGATGCTAGCTAGTTGATCAAGTAGAGAGAGAGAGAGACCATGTGACTGGTTCTCTTCTTTTATCGGAGATCCAGGAGATAGGTGTTGACGGTGCCAACCTCCTGGCCCACCTCCCTGTTAGTCTGTCCCAAAACTAATTCTACTGGTTACCTATAGGAGTGGGATGTTACCTAGAGGATTGGATAATATTGTAACCTAAGACCTAACTCAAAGGATGGCATCTGGGCAAGTGTGAAAACTTGGCGTCAGGGTGCTTCCTTGAAGTGCAGATGAAGCTTGGCCATTCCTCTGGTCATAAAAGGTCCATCTGGCAGGAAATGCCAATGTAGAAATAAAGCAGAGATGTGGCATGCGTGACGTTGTTGTTTTGCTGACAATAATGGAGATGTGTGCTTCCTCACCAGGCTAATAGCTGTGTAGCTGAAACCTTATTCACGTGTTAAGGCTTATGCATGCACCTTCTATGTGTAGTATCACAACAGGTGATTTGTACAGCTTTCTGAGCCTGTGTGTGTGTGTGTGTGTGTGTGTGTGTGTGTGCACAGTCCATTTTGTGTGTAACAGCAAATATAGTTCATATAGGAAAAAGCCATATAATCAATTGTACTAGCACGAAGAGAAGATAAATATGTGTAAGAACCTCCTGATTTATCAAACGTCGTCCCATGCAAAATGTACAAGTTAAACAAAGAAAGCAGCTCTAGAAATTTCAAACCAGATTTGCTAATTACAGGATCTAACAAGTGGCAATCTAGAGGAGAGGCTTGTTAAGTAACCTGAGCCTGTACGAGTGTCAAGATTTCCCGAGCCAATCCTAGCATTAAAATCCCCACCTAAAATCATTTTGGAGTTAGAGTATTGAGATGTTAGGTCTTTAAGAGTTGTAAACAGCTGGTCCCATAATTTCCCTTTGTCCTGAGTTCTGGAATATTTGGGGGAGAAGTAAACATCAACACACAAGAAGGTGCCTATATACTGTCCCTTAACTAATAATATCTGAGTATAATTTGGACAAATACTTTCTATAAC